CTGTGGACCATGTTCTCCTGATATCCTCGACTGCTCTGGCTCCTACATTTCTTCCTGTTCCTCTTCCTTGGGGTTCCCCAAGTTCCAAAGGGAGGGACCCATGGAGATCTTCAATTTGGGCTCTCTCTGGGCCTAATGTTTGTGTGTGGGTCTCTGTATCTGCTCCATCTGCTGCTGAGAAAGCCCTTTGATGACTACTGGACGAGCCACTGGTCATGTTTGTCTTTTCAGGTGTTAGTTACCTCTCTCAGGATGATTTTTTTCCAGTCTCATCTCTTTGCCCACAAATTTCACATCATTTTAAACACCCGAGTAACACTCCATTGTTGAAATGTACTGCATCTTCTTTGTCCATTCTTTCTTAAGAGTTATTATTTACTAAGTATAGTGTTCTACCTAGATGCCAGAAGAGGTCATCAGAAGCCATTACAGATGACTGTGAGCCACCATGTGGTTACTGAGAATTGAACTCAGGACCGCTGGAAGAGCAGCAGTGCTCTTAACCCTGAGCCGTCTCTCCAGCCCCCATTCTTTGTCTGCTCTTCTGTTGAAGGACATCTAGATTGTTTCCAGTTTCTAGATATTATGAATAAACCCACTATGAACGTAGTTGAGCAAATGTCTTTGTGGTAGGATGGAGCATCCTTTGGGTGTATGCTCAAGAGTGGTGTAGATGACTCTTCAGGTAGAATGGTTCCTAGTTTTCTAAGGAACCTCCATATTGATTTCCATGGTGGTTTTAAGGAGTTTGCACTCCCTCCAGCAATAGAGGAGTGTTCCCCTTGCTTCACATATGTAGGAAGATTTTGTTATTAAACATTTAAATACCATAGTCAGTAGAACTCTGGGGAGTTTGAGGGAAGTCGTTTAATGTATAAAGTATACCTGATTTTAAATCAACTTTGCTTTTAGTTACTTGCTTTAGGCTTAACCTTAAAAATATAGGGATAAGTCTTGTCCTGATGCACTCATATCCAGATGTAGAACTCTCAACTCCCCCTCCAGTGCCACGTCTACCTGTGCATTACCATGCTTCCCGCCATGATGACAATGACTCAACCTCTGAACTGTACACCATCCCCAATTAAATGCTTTCCTTTATAAGAGCTATCATAGTCATGGTGTCTCTACAGCAATAGAAACACTAAGACAGCACCATTACAGAAAATTGTAGCTTTCGTATGACTCAGTTTATCCAAATAGCTAAAGCTTAACCAAGTTAGCAAAGACAAAGAGGCTAGATCTACCTTTTAAAGTCAGTTGTTTACCTGAATAGAACTTAGGAATTTATAAACATTATTTATTACATATATTTTATTTATTAAACATGGGTTTTTTCCTAAAATTTTGTTTTAGGACAAAAATCAGCACATAAAAATCTATCTTAATTTAAACTACCTTGGAGAACTGTTGTTGCCTCCTTAGTCTAAACAAGAGATAAAAAGAGTTGATTTCAAGTTGCATATAAGTATGTAAAAGCAAACTAAGATTACCTATATAGAGGCTTCTTTGAACTATTATCTTTTTTGTTACAAGTTTTTTAAGCTAACTTTTTGCTTGGAATTTTACACACACACAATGGTCTTACAGATCCTGAGAGAAAGAAAGTTTACATTTCAGCAAGAGGTTTGAATATTTGTGACCTTGATTGGGAGAACATTTTTTTTGTAAACAAGAACCAAGAAGGGAGATAGAGGTCAAGTAGCTAGACATCCTAATTTTTATATAAATCATTTTTATTAAAATATTTAAGCAACATGATACATTACAGTAACAAATTTAACATTTGTTGAAATAGAGTTTCCCTAAGGAGGGTGTTAGACAGTATCTGGAACTTTACCCAGTATATAGAATAGCTTTTTCATTTTTGTGTAGTTGGACCCCTCTCCTTATTCTTAGTTTTTAACCTGAATGCCTTAGGATTATTTTTTAAAGAAAACGTTGAGGTTTCATTCACTATCAGCTGGGAGACGTGACTGTATACTTAGGTGAAGTTTCGCTGACCTTGCCTATCCCTTTTTTATGAAGGAATATTACCTTTTAACAAGTCTAGGTCTGATGGTTTTAAGCAGGCCTATCTGGAAGAGTTATTGAGAAATTTTAGACAGAAGGCTTCATTTTATTTTATAACCAGGTTGTGTCGCCTGCAGATTGGAGGCAGACAACCTGAAAAGATTAATAAGCATTTTTTTTCTTGTAAAGTTGCAGAATAATATAAGTATCTATAACATAGAGGACATTATGCAGTAAACTGTAAAAACCAGGTATCTATGGGAACTCAGAAAATGTTGGTGTCAGCTTATTTTTGTTTCCTTAAGCAAGCTTTGTTCAGGAAGAGGGAAGCTATAACTCAACTCCAGAGCCAGCTTTCCAATAAAGTAGAACAACACAAAACAATACTTCAGTATTATCTATGCATAGAAGAAACCTGAATCCAGTGATCAGAGAGAAATCCTTGGCATAGGCCACCTACAGCAGTGCAGCCAGCAGTGGGCAGCGGAACAGGGAACTTATGGTGCCAGGAAGGGCTGTCTGATAGGAGCACCCACACTGTCCCATCCCAGCAGCACAGGGATTGGTGGTAGCCAGTGTTGTTGGCCATGCCAGAGGAGCAGCGATTTGCAATCGAAGGTCCAGGTGTCAGCCCACCAGAAGGGAATCACCTGATGGGACAATCTCATTTAGGCAAGGCCACAGGACTGCAGACTCCAGAATGCCTTTTGCTTCTGCTGTGCCTTTACATGCCTGGTGCAGCTCCCTTTTCCTGATATCTAGCATGGTGTGAGTGGACGTGGGGAGATCTCCACTGCCTGTAATATAGTGTGTTTATCTCTTGGAAGCATTCCATTCTACTGGGCATTTTTACCTGTGGATTGTCAAGAAGACAACCCCTATCTAAGCTGTACTGTCTAATTTGATAATAATAATAATGATAGCTTATATAGATATTTTATGAATAAAAATAAATACGAGGACATATTTCACAGCCAGGGTTTGTGAGTCTCACCTAAGGAGCTGCATGGATTGTAACTCAAGTTAATGACTAACAGTTGAATCCCAACAGCACAACTAGTTTAAATTCTTTTAAACCTAATGTAAGGAGATGTGTTCAGGGGTCTTGGTGTGCATCACAGCTGAAACAAAGCTTTCAAAATGACAAAGTTAGACTGAGATGTTTTGTTAAATAACTTTGAGGTGAAAAATCCAAGAAGACAATCTAAAGTTTTAAAAAGGCACATACTTGAATGCAGAACTCTTTAACGTCAGGGAACAAGAACAAAGCAGTCCAATTATTACTGACCGATGTACTCTCCTTTCTAGGTTTGGTGGGAATGCAAACTTGTACAGCCTCTTTAGAAATCTGTATGTCAGTTTCTCAGAACACTGGGACTCAATCTGTCTCAAGACTCAGCAATACCACTCTTAGGCATATACCTAAGGGAGGCACATTCATACTACAAGGACTTTTGCCCAACTAAGTTCATAGCAACATTATTTATAATAGTCAGAACTTGGAAACAACCTAGATGCCCCTCGCCCAAAGAAAATGTGGTACATTTACACAATGGTGTATTACTCAGAGGAAAAAAAACCCACAATGACATCTTGAAATTTGCAGGCAAATGAATAGAACTGAAAAAAGCCATCCTGAGTGATGTACCCCAGACCCAGAAAGACAAACATGGCATGTACTCACTCATAAGTAGATATTAGACATAAAGAAAAAGATAACCAGGCTACAATCCACAACCCTGAGAAGCTAGGAAACAAGGAGGACCCTAAGTGAGACAAGCCTGGAAGCCCCTGAGTGAATTGGGATCACAGGGGAGAGGATGAAGAGGGGTGAAGGGGCCAGGGGAGGAGAACATGAGCGAATGGGAAGGTTGAGTTGGGGGTGGGGGACAGACAGGGAGAGCAAGGAGAGAGACATCTTGATATAGAGAGCCATTGTGGGGTTAGGAAGAAATCTGGTGCTAGGATGACTCCTGCTAAGACTCTTAGCAATAGTGGAGAGGGTGCCTGAACCGGCTTTCCCCTGCAGTCAGATTGATGGCCATCCTAACTGTCATTCTAGAACCTTCATCCAGTAACTGATGGAAACAGAGATCCACAGCTAAGCACTGAGTCAAACTCTGGGAGTCCGGTCACAGAGTGGGAGGAGAGATTATATGAGCAAAGGGGTCGAGATCATAATGGGAAAACCCACAAAGACAGTTGGCCTGAGCTAACAGGAGCTCACTGACTCTGTCCTGAGCTGGGGAACCTGCATAGGACCATACTAGGTCCTCTGAATATGGGAGATGGTTCTGTGGCTTGGGCAGTCTGGAGGTCCATTGACAGTGGGACCAGGATTTATGAACTGGCCTTTTGAAGTCTATTCCCTATGGAAGGGTACCTTGCTCAGCCTCAATACAGGGGAGAGGGACTTGGTCCTGCCTCAACTTGATATGCCAGATTTTGTTGACTCCCCATGGGAAGCCTTACCCTTTCTGAGGAGTGGGTGGGGGATTTGGTGTGGGAAAGATGGTGGGAGGGGGAGGTGAGGGAGGGGGAAATGGGGTTGGTATGTAAAATGTAAAAAAAAAAACTTTTAAATAAAATATTTTTTAAAAAGATAGCTAACAGAAAGCTGTAGAGAAGTGACTGGTACACCTTAAATGGCAGGCTCCAGGAAGCCAGTGAGAGGGACAGAGATGGAGCAGGCTAGATAGAGCAAGCTACATGGGGAGGGGGCTTACATAGAGACAGCCAGGAGGGGTCTGTCTAGCAGAAATACTGAAAACGTTGGCACGTGCAGCTCAGGGGCAATTTGGCCGCACCCAGTCTGACTCCCATCTCCCATCTCTCCAACAAACTGGAAAACACAAGTTTAATAGGCAAAAGAAAGCCACATAAAAAGACAACAGTGCTATCAGGAAAAGACCAGAGGAACTCAAACATGTAGTGGCCACCTTCATTCATACACCAAGACCAGAAGGGCAGTAGGGTGTCCCCTCAGCCCCAAAGAATGGGTCTACAATCATGCCCGGTCTTGCTTTTGTCTCTCCAAAGGTACAGATTCTAAAACAGAACAGAGTAACTCACCGATCAGTCAGCACTTCAGAAGCACACTGGCCTGCAAGTCTTCCTGAAGACTGAAGTTTGGGATCCTGTGGGCCTGTCAAGTCCACCTTGGACTTGCTCCTCTGGGGCCTACCACAGACCCTTGACCCTGAGTCTAGACTCTCCCATGGATCACACTGGGACATCCAAATGTATGGAGCTCATGACCCCTGGGAAAACATCATAGAATCAATCCGAGTATAATTAAAAGATGTATTGATTAGTTGTTAGCAAGATGACCATCTCTGAGCCAAATAAGGAAGGGTTTTTTAAAGGCAAAATCCACAAGAAGATCTTCAATATGTACACAAGCAAGGAAAAACTGATCTGTTTTGCCTGGTTTAGTTGCTAAGGCAATTTTGAGGTGTTTGCATAAACAAGTTACAGAAGTCAAAAAAGTCATATCGTAACAAGTAGATGGTCACAGTTGTACATTTTTGGGTGGGGGTCACTGAGTCAGCGTTACTAGAAACTTACCAAGATGGATGCCTGACATAAAAGGCGGTTTCTTTAGCCGTCATACCTGAAAAATAATAAGTAAATATTTAAAATTTACCATGATATACAGTCACAGGATGTCCCTAATCTTTAATAACATCCCATTTCAAGTGAAACCCAATTTGATGAAATATTTCAGTCCTTTCTGATACCCTCTTACTCACTTGCTGCTCTGTTCCCCATAGGATGCGTCCCCCCTTGTTACAGATGCGGGCAGGCACGCCCCTGGTACCAGGGGTGAGTGAGTGTCTGATGGAAAACTAAATGGATGGATGGATGGATGGGTGGATGAATGGGTGGATGAAAAACTAGAAATGAGGGAGCAATGAAGGGATAGGGAAAGGAAAGGAAGAACCAATTCAGGTCTTTCTGCTCTGTTCCTTGGCCCAAGTTATACTTGTCACTGTTGTACATCGCATCATTTCCTAAGGGCCCTGCAGTGATCATATGCCTCTTAATATGGGGTTTTGTTTTGAAGGCAGTCTTGAGTTCTATTATACAATATTCTGACCTCACACTTTTTCCTTTTCCTCTTCCTCCCTTGTTGATCATCATGGCTCCTATGGCTTTTCTGGTTCAAGGACTTCAACATAAGGACAGATATACTGAACCTGATAGAAGAGAAAGTGGGGAATAGTCTTGAACTCATTGGCACAGGAAAAGACTTTCTTTAGAACACCATTAGCACAGGCACTATGATCAACAATTCATAAACAGGACCTCCTGAAACTGAAAAGCTTCTGTATGGCAAATGATGATTTGGACAAAGAGCAAGCCTAAAGGATGGGAAAAGATTTTACAAACTACACATCTAATAGAGCATCAGTATCTAATATATATATAAAGAACAAAAAACATCAAAAAAACCCACCAGATAGCGAGAAAACATCACAATTTTCTTTCTGCTTTTTGTTAAATGGCTTCTAAGTCTCTTCCTGAAACCACAGCCTCTTCCCAAGGGTGCAGTCTTGCATACCTCTTTAAACCACATGGTGGCGCTCAAGCATAGGGAAATGAGGACTTCTTTTTTTCTAGCTCAATATCTGGTCACTAGTTAAATTCTGATTTCTGTCTTTTGCATCCCACTGTACAGCTCCTTGGTTGTATTCTAATGAGGTTTGTGGTATCTGTCATGAGTCATGTTCCTCAGAGGAGCAATGATGGAGGGCTCAACAGAAAGCAACTATGACTATAGTAATAACATACGTGTGAAGGGTTCCTAGCTGGTAGCACCAAAATGAGACATGTTTCTAGATTATTTATAGCACCAAATATACTAAAAATACTATGTAAATTGTTGCTATATTGTAATTTTTGGGGAACAATATAAAAGTAAAATCTGCACATTTAAATGCAAATGTTTTTTCAAGTATTTCCAATTTGTGGTTGATTGGTTTTCAAGTTTCAGAAACAGAGAATATATAGTTTTGAAATAACTGTTATCTCTTGGTACTTTTTTGGTTGGCTATGTGCAAAAAATTTTGAAGTATGTTTTTGCAACCTGAATGATTTCTTCATGATCTTCTCACTCCATTTTAGTTGTGAATGGCATACATGACTTATTTTTGTTTTTGTATAACCTACTTTCACATGATAATGATTCCCATTTGATCATGTTATATAATCATTTTAATATGTTGTTGGATTTTGTTTGCCAGTTGGTTTTTTGTTTTGTTTTGAATTCTATTTTGACCCACTACATTTAAGTAGAGCCTTCTGTGTAGGCTTTGGTTTGAAACTATCCATTGGAACGTGGGCAACTCACCAGTGGTTATACCACTAAAACCTATCACTACCTTTCATTGGCAGTTTTTTTTTTCTGGTTTCATCTGGTTCTATGAGTGTTACCACATATAATGAATTTGAAAATATTTGCTTCTTTATTTTTTTTCAGAGTTTGAGAAGGATCCATGTTAATTATGTCTAAGTGCATTGTGGAATTCACCACTAGATTTGTCTCCTCCCCCTTACCAGGAGGGTTTGAATTATTACTTCATTCTTGTTAGTAGGTATCAGCATGCTCTGCCATGATTTTTCTTCATGATTTACTCTTAAGAAAGAGTGTTTTTCTATATATTTTTATATATCAACCAGTTGGTATAAAATTATTCATAATATTTTATTATCTAAGTATTATAAAAGCAAACTGGTGTCTTTTCTTTCTGTTATGATTTTAATTATTTGTGCCCTTTCCCTTTTTTATTAGTACCACTAAACACTTCATGATTTTGTCAACTGCTTTGAAGAACTAACTGTTGATTTCTTTGGTAGCCTCTAATTTTATAAATTTATTTTTACATATATGAGTCACTGTGTATGTGTATGTATGTGTGTGTGTATACCATGTGAATGTCTGGTGCTTGCAGAGAGCAGAAGAAGGCATTTCATCCTCTGGGACCAGAGTTATAGATAGTTGTGAGCTGTCATGTGGTGCTAGGAACTGAATTTGAAAGAGTGCTGCAAATGTTCTTAACTACTGACACAACTCTTCAGCCCCCATCTCTAATTTTTCATTCTATGTTATAATCTTTATTTTCCTATTTTTTCTAGTTTTGTATTCTGCTTTTATTTTGTTTTTAGCTATTAATATAATCTAAAAAGTTTGTATTATTGATGAGAATTTTCTTTTTAATCTGTTACTTCCTATGTTATATTTCCCTTTTAGCATTCATTTCACTGCATCTCTCAAATTTCACTGTTTTGTGTGACCTTTCAAAACATGAAAACGGGAACCCAAATGAATCACTACTAGAGGTGCTTTTATTCTCATTAGTGTGTACTTTATGAAATTAAAAGCCACACACACATGCACATACACAGTTATAATTATTACATCTTTTTAATAAATTGTTCCCTTTATGTCAGTTTTATTTTGACTTCCATTTGCTTGAAATATTGACTTTCCTCTTGACTCATTCGGTGGGGGCCTTTGTCTATGATGTGTGTTTCTTGAACACAACAGATAGTTGGGTGCGATTTTGCTGTGGTATAATCCTTCTGTGCATTGTGAATATGTGTTGCTCTCATTGATTGATAATAAAAGCTGATTTTGCCTATAGTCAGGCAAAATATAGCTAGACAGGAAAGCTAAATGGAGATACACAGAGAAGGAAGAGAAGACTCAGAGAGAGATGTGAGCCAGTCACCCAAGAAGCTAGCAGACCAGTAAAGCCATGGCAATATGGCAATACACAGGTTGATAGAAATGGTTTAATTTAAATGTAAGAGTGAGTTAGTAATAAGCCTGAACTATAGGCCAAATGTTCTGTAATTAATATTAAGTCTCTGAGTGATAATTCAGAAGCAGTTGCAGGACAGGGAGGGACAGAGAAACCTCCATTTACATAGTTTTTCTTTAATTTTGTTAGTTGCATCTTTTAAGTAATAAGTTGAGACTGTTTATTTTTAAGATTATTATAGATGTAGGGGTGGAGTGGTGGTTTGAATGCAAATGTCCCCCAAAGGAAGTGGCACTATTGGGAGGTGTGCTCTTGTTAAAGTAGGTATAGTCTTATTAAAGGAAGTGTGTCACTATGGTTGTGGGCTTTGAGGTCTCTTTTGCTCAAGCTTAATTCAGTATGACACTCAGTCCACTTCCTGCCACCTTCTGATCAAGATGTAGCCAGAACTATGTCTGCCTACACAATGCCATGCTCCCTGGCCATGATGATAATGTACTAAACCTCTGAAACTGTAAGCCATCCAATAAAATGTTTCCTTTTATAAAAGTTGCTGTGGTTATGATGTCTCTTCACAGTAACAGAAACCTTAACAAGGAGGTGGTTTGACTGAGAATGTATCCCTATAGCTCATATATTTAAGAAGTCAGTCTCCAGTTGGTGGGACTAATTGGGAAAGATTAGGAGGTGTTATCTTGTTGGAGCAGGTATGTCACTGGGGCAGGCTTTGATGTCTTAACTTTGATTCCAAGTTAACCCTGTGCTTATAGATCAAGATGCAAACTCTCAGTTCCTGATCCAGAGCCATGACTGTCTGCATGCTGCAAAGCTCCCCTCTGTGATGGTCATGAACCCATCTCTGAAGTAGTAAGTCCCAAATTAAACATTTTTTTTAATAAGCTTCCTTGGTCATGATATCTTAGCAGAGAAATAAGAAAGTAACTAAAATTTCTTGGTACTCTCTGGAAATTTGAGTCAATTTATTTTGTAAGTTGAATTGCCCTGATCACAGAAATATTTAAAAACTACGATAGATGTTTATTAACTCCTGTAATTTTTTGGCTTTTTTACTGGTTCTTTGGATTACTATCTGTTCATTTATTTCTACCCTATTAATATTAGGGTCTATTATTTTCCTGTGTTAGGTTGATGAATTCCTTCTTAGCTCTCCTTTGTCAATCTATTTTTCTCATAAATTTATTATTTCCTGTGCTCTGTGTATAGTGTAATCCTTTAAATAGTATCTGCACTACTACTGGCTTAGTGTCCATCTAATTACCCTAGCTTGTACTTGACCTGAGATATCCTTATTTTTCTGTCAATTTAAAAATATATCTTTCTTGGATATAGCAATCTTGATTGGCAGTTTTACAACTTGATATGTTATTTCATACCTTCCTGGATTTTTCTTGATGATGAAAACTATGATGTTATTCTAATATGTTTGTCTTTATAGGTGAGTGGATATTTTTGTTATATATTTTGATAATGGTTTTCTGTTTTATATTTTTGACATTTTGACTATAACATGTCACGAATGTGTCTTCATATATATGCATATGAAGTATATGTACATGCATATATGTATTTATGTGTAAAAGCCAAAAACCTTTTCTTATATAAATGTGTGTGTGTGTGTAATGAAATGGTCAACATAGTCTTTAAGGAACTCTTAAACTTTGCTCTAGAACTTCAGAAGCCAGGCCTCTTTTGCCTGTGCTGTGCTCAGCATTATCTTTTACATTCACTTCCACAACTAATTAATATTTAAATATACAATGGCTTCTCCAGGCCAAAGTCCCAAAATCCTTCCATGATCCTCCCAAAAGCATGGCTCGGTCTGTCACAGCAAATACCTCACTTCTGTTAACAATTTCTATCTTAGTCAGCATTCTATTGCTGTGATAAGACACCATGACAAAAGGCAACTTGGGGAAGAAAGGGGTTCTTTCATCTCACATCTTGTAGTACCTCGTCCTGGAAGTCAGGACAGGACCTCAAGGCTAGAATTTGGAGGCAGAATTTGATATAAAGGCAATGGAGGGAGGAGTGCTGTCTACTAGCTTGCTTCCTATGGTTTCCCCAGTTTACTTTCTTATAGACCCCTTGCCTTGGGATGGCACCACCACCTACAATGGGCAGGGCATTCCAACATAAATCAATAGTTAAAAAAATGCCCCACAGTTTTTTCTCTGGTGCACTGGATGGTCACAATTTCCATGTATGTTTCCAGTGTTTAATATTCTCAGACAGAAGTGGGGAGAGCTGTCTGCACTAGTATTTAAACTTGAAGGTGGGTACTCTACTCTCTCAGCTCACCAGAACTCTGGCTGTTTCTCAAATTCAAATCTTGCCTGTTGGTGTTCACAAGTCTATGTTTTTACTTGCCTAGTTTGTAAAGAGAGTGAGGGAATTGGGTTTGGGGATACAGT